ACCATAAAAATAAAATTTTGATCCTGCCTCAGCTTCCCAGGTGCTAGAGCTACTGGTGTGTGACACCACATCAGGTCTTATTTATATGAACAGTGAAAGCCTGGAAATGTAACTCAGTGAGTGATACAGTGCTTCCCTGGCATGCATGAAGCTCTAGGTTCAATCCCAAGTGCAAAAAACAACAAAAACAAAAACCTGAAAGCTGACAACAGTGGTGTATGCTTATGATCCCAGCACTAGGAAAGCTGAGGCAGGGAGATCATGAGTTTGAGGCTAGCCTGGACTACATAGAGATTTTGAGGCAAGTCTGGGGGGGGGGTCAGCAAGATGGCTCAGGTGATAAAGCTTTCTGCACAAACCTGGTGATCCGAGTTCTATCCTCGGAATCCACATAAGAGAACCGACTCCACAAAGTTGTCCTCTGGTCTCCATACACACATATGGCATGTGCACCCCCCCCCACACTACTAATACATTTCTAATTTTTATTTATTTATTTATTTTTGGTTTTTTGAGACAAGGTTTCTCTGTGTACCTTTGCACCTTTCCTGGATCTCACTCTGTAGACCAGGCTGGCCTCGAACTCACAGAGATCCACCTGGCTCTGCCTCCCTAGTGCTGGGATTAAAGGCGTGTGCCACATTTTCTAATTTTATTTTTATTTATTTATTTATTTATTTTTGGTTTTCGAGACAGTGTTTCTCTGTGTAACTTTGTGCCTTTCCTGGAACTCACTTGGTAGTCCAGGCTGGCCTCAAACTTACAGAGATCCGCCTGGCTCTGCCTCCCGAGTGCTGGGATTAAAGGCGTGTGCCACCACCACTCGGCACATTTTCTAATTTTAAAAGCAAATAAATTGCTGATATTTATAATCAGTGAAATTATTTACTTCTTTATTTTTATTTTGTGGGAGGAGTTAAGGTAGGGTCTCTTATAGTGCAGATTGGCCTCCAACTCACTCTGTAGCCTGGAGTGACTTTGAACTCCAGATCTTCCTGCCTTCACATCCCATGTGCTGGTATTACATGCATGCGCCTCCTTTCCTGGCTGGCAGTGAATAAATTAAAAGTGCCCGTCAAATTTCATGATTGTTTCTGTGAGATAAACTCCAAACTACTTTCCATACTACAATTTATAAGTTCTGAAGAATAAAAATGTCAAAAAGTATGTATCCATATGAATAAAAGCACCCACTATTTTTAACTTAGTTATAAATTTAAAGGTTTTTCTGAGTACTGTGACACATGCCTGTAATCCCAGCATTTGGAAGACTAAGGAAGGAGGATTGTGACTTCCTCAAAGGCAGGAAAATATAAATGCTTAGCTATATTTAGTCATATAGAAACACCCTACCAGCCAAACAGGAGTCACAGCATACTTAATATTGCCGGATTTTTCAAACTGATCCTTAGTATGCTTCAGTTTCTGAGTTCAAAAATATTGCCTTTGTTCTGCAAATATGTATGTGATATATACATATATACATATAGATAGATGTATAACTAAATGGTGTGTTTGTCTTGTTTTTATTTTGCTGTGGATTTTGTGTAAATATGCGGGCACTCAACATAGTTTGTGTCAGCAGCATTCAGGAGACAGAGGCAGAGGCAGGAAGATCTCTGTGTGTGTTTATGTGTTAAGGCCAGTGTGGTCTACAAAGTGAGTTCTAGACCAGTCAGGATTGCAGAATGGAAACCCTGTCTTAAAACACCAAACCAGCTGGGAGGTGGTGGTGCACAGCCTTGATCCCAGCACTTAGGAGGCAGAGGCAGGCAGATCTCTGAGTTCAAGGACAACCTGGTCTACAAAGTGAGTTCCAGGACAGCCTGGGCTACACAGAGAAACCTGTCTATAAAAACAAAACAAGGGGCTAGAGAGATGGCTCAGAGGTTAAGAGCACTGACTGTTCTTCCAGAGGTCCTGAGTTCAATTCCCAGTACCCACATGGTAGCTCACAACCATCTGTAATGAGATCTAGTGCCCTCTTCTGGTCTAGTGCCCTCTTCTGGTCATACATGCTATATACAAAATAAATAAATCTTAAAAAAAAACAAAAAACGAACAAACAAAACAAAACATGTCTTCAGATATTAGATGCCCCTTGAGCTTAAAAATGGTTCTCCCCTATCCCTCTCTTTTTTAAGTAGTGCTGGAGATATGGAATCCAGCACATGCTAAGCACTCTACCACTAGGCTACATCTCAAATCCCCAAATGAGCACTTTTAATACACGTTTAAAAAGACTTTGTGGGTAAAAGTTGTGAAAAGTACCTAAGATTTTAAAGACAACTGCTGATTTGTGTACTACCAGAGTTGTAAGGACTTCCTGCAAAGCAACAGCAGCTAAGGCAGAATGACTGACTGGGAAGGGAAAAATATAAATATATATAAAACCAGAGTGTCACTAAACAGACCTGCATCTCAACAGTCTCCTACCTCACCACCATGGTGACACTGAGGTTCCATAGAGAAAGATGATGGCCTTCTCTCCTCTTCCTCCTTATTTGGAGATAAGGTTTGTTTGACCCCCAGGCTGGCTTCCACTTGTGATGTAGCTGAGGATGGATGACATTGAGCTTCTGAACCTCTGGCCTCCACTTCTGAAGTGCTGGGATTATTGGCAGGGGCTACCAAGCCCAGTTTTATGTCACACTGGGGATCCAACCCAAGGCTTTGTGCATGCCAGGGAAGAATTCTACCAACTGAGCTACACCACCAGCCCTAGAAAGGTGCTCTTTGCAATCCATGGTATTAGGTCTACTTAGATAGTATTGTGGGGAATATTAATCTCAATCTACATCTCAAGACACACAAACTAATTTTTTTTTCCCCGAGACAGGGTTTCTCTGTGTAGCTTTACGCCTTTCCTGGAACTCACTTGATAGCCCAGGCTGGCCTTGAACTCACAGAGATCTGCCTGGCTCTGCCTCCTGAGTGCTGGGATTAAAGGCATGTACCACCACCGCCAGGCTAAAATTTTAAATGGGTATTAGAGATAGCTGTGACTAGCAAGACAATAAAGATCTTATAGGAAAACATAACATGATTTCTGACTTTGGAGTAGACAAAGAAAAGAAATTTTTTGAGACATGGTCTCACTCTGTAGAGGGTGGCCTAGAACTCAGAATGTAGGCCAGGTTGGTCTCAAACTCACAGCAATCCTCCTGAGTGCTGAAAGTACAGGTGAGAACCATTATGTCTGGCTTTAAAAAAAAATTCAAATGTGATACAGTATAAGGGGAAAATGATAAATTGGAAAACATTAACATGTAAGGCTCAGTTGCCTTTGGCCTACTGGCTATGGGTGGGATAGGACCTCTGTTGGTCTTTTCTGTGTCGAACACACAGATTGCAAGCCCAGCGCCGCTTTGAGATCTTTGGCAGCAGTTAACTCTGCAGCTCACACATGATTGATCCTGTATGATAATGAGTATTCAGAGACGGGTAATTCCTGGGGGGCACTCACCAACCTAAGACAGAGCACCTGTGTGGCCTGGGCAGGCGTCTCCATGACGGGTAAGGTGACCTGCTGACGTCCCACGCAACCTAAGTCAGAAGCTCATTTTTTAGTAAATGGGGGACCTGTGGGGCCCTGGCCCCTCCCCCCCCTTTGGGTAACTGTTGCCTTGCTTGTTGACCTTGACCTTGATATTCTCTCTATGCTAATTTCCTGCCAGGTTCCACCTTCCTGAATGCTTAAGGGAAGTTCCTTGTCTGTGTATCCTGCATAATGGGCGTTAACAGCTTAGAGGCAAGATTGTAAAACATCAGTAGCAAACTTCTGCCCTCCCGGGTTCTCCCATTGTGCTGTAAGCCCATATTATTTAAGACCTCCTCCCTCCATAAAAGGCATTCAGCATTTAAAAAAAAAAAAAAAAAAAAAAAGCCAGCTGCAGAAAGGAGGGGCTTGGACCTGCCTCAACTGAGTGTACCAGGCTGGCTGACACCCCATGGGAGACGTTGCCTTGGAGGAGGTGGGAATGAGGGGTGGATTGTGGGGGAGGACTGGGGGATGGGAGGAGGGAGGACAGGGGAATCTGTGGTTGGTATGTAAAATGAATAGAAAATACTTTAATAAAATTTTTTTTGTTTAAAAAAATTCAAATGTGATACAGTCTGTATAAGGGGAAAATGATAAATTGGAAAACATTAACGTGAAGACTTTTGCCCCAAAGATATTGTTAGGAAAGTGAGGAGGGCAATCTACTGAGACGTATCTAACAAATGCCTTAAACCCCAAATATTTCAAGAACTCACATAAACTGCTAAGAGACACAAATGGGGAGGAGAAGACTTGAACAGTCATTTTACAGAAAGGATATTCAAATGACCAGCAGACAGAAAGATGCTCGGTTTACCAGTCCTCACAGAAATGCAAATTGAAACCTCGGGGCATCAAAGCTGTGCAGTCAGCAGAATGAACAGCTACAGGCTGGACACTGGCTGATAAGGACAGAAGGGAGGGAGCACACACCCCGCTGCTGGGAGTGTGGGGCTAACCTGGGCTGGCCTTGAACTTACCTCCTCTCTCCTCCACCACAGAGTGCTGAGATTACAGGTGTCTGCGGTGGTACCCAGGAAGCACAACTTTTTTTTTTTTTTTTAACTTAAAAAAAAGTTAATGTGTCTGGATGTTTTGCTGTGTGTATGTCTATGTACCCCTTTCATGGCAGGAGCCTGCAGAGGCCAGAAGATCGAATCATCTGGAACTGGAGTTACAGATGTTTGAGAGCCACCACGGAGGTGCTGAAGATCGAACCAGGGTCCTCTGGAAGAGCACCCCGTGCTCTTAATCACTGAGCCTTTGCTCTAGCCCCAAGCACAACTATTTTGGAAAGCTGCTGCACCCTATATAATCAAACCAAGCAAACGCACAGAAGTCACACTACTCAAAATAAGCCAAAGATGAAAACAAGCACGTCCTTCAGTAAAACGGGTAAACAACACACAGTCCATCTTTTTGCAGAACATTATACGTCAATGAGCATACATAGACTTACTGTTCTGGATGCAGGTTACACAAGCAAGCCTGTGAAAAGCGGTTTGGCGGGACTCAGGGTCTGTGCACTTTTCCATATGTTCGTTATGTATTGTTTCTTAAAGTCTGGAAACAAAGCAGGCAAGGTTCCCTAAAGCCTGAAAACAAAGCAGGCAAGGTTTCCTCTGAGTCATTCCCGAGTAAGTCTGTCAGCTGGAGCACTCCCTACTTCCCTCTCTAGTTGGCACTTCTCGGGTGTCTAGATTACCTGCCGCCCCGTGGACCTAAGGACCGCACTGTTCCTACTCCCCGTGTCCCTTTAGTTCTTGGCACGGTAGTCGTCCCTGGTAGACGCCCATTAAGGGACCGTGGTAGCAACGCCCAGTCGGTTCTTAACCCTAAATAAGGTGACATTCTTACAGAACACTGCCACAGAGTCAAACCCAAGAGCAGGGGCCAGGTTGAGACCAGAGCAGAGATTGCCAGGAGCCCGAGAGAGCCTCCGGACGCGGCCAGGCTGCGGAAGCCCTTGCCATACTAACAGCCCCGCGCCGGCTCGGGTGCCACAGGAAGGGGGCGGCTTTCCGGGGAGTGCTGGACCGCGGGTTGGAAGGGGCGGGGCAGGGAAGCGGTGTCCCGGGAAAGGGCCCGACCCCCGGGGCCCGGCCGCCCACCGCCCCGGCGCCCGCTCACCTGCGCGACCCCGCGCTGCGGGCTGCAGGCTCGCCCGGGAAGTGCCCGCTCCCCGGCTTCCGGAAGCTCCTAGGTCGCCGCCCTCCTGCCCGCACCAGCCGCCCTCCTGCCCGCGCCCGCCCGCCCGCTCTCCTGCAGGACCCTAGGGGGCGCTCGCCCGCCCGCGTCGCTCAGACTGCCTGGCCGCCTCCACGCTTAGGCTAAAGCTCCTCACTGTGAAGCCCTGAGCCCGTTTGTCCCCTCTGAGGGCAAGGGAACCGGGAGAAAACTCCTCCAGCAAGGGAGGCGCAGGAAAATGAGGCATTTTACCAAAGGTCTCTCAAGGTAGGTTAAGAGGTACAAATGATTCAGGCCAGCCCTCGGGAGGGGGTTCCTTTTAATGTTGATGCCCACAGGCTGGAATCAGTCTTGCCAATCCCTCAAAGCAGGGATTCCCGGATGGGCATTCAACTGCAGTTTCGAGGGTACCAAAATAACTGCAAAAAGGGTGGTTAGGCAAGATGTTGACAAGTCCTGATGAAATACTTAAGTCCTTTGTCCCCACTTCCTAGAGTTCTTGCTGTGAGCTTTGTGAAGCTCCAAGGGAAAGGGTTATTAAAATGCCCACCTGAGGCCGGGCAATGGGGGCACACGCCTTTAGTCCCAGCGCTGGAGAGGCAGAGACAGGCGGATCTCTGAGTTCCAGGACAGCCAGGGCTGTTACACAAAGAAACAAACAAAGCCATCCTGAAAACGACTCACAAGAAATCTGGCAGGTGGGAGGAGTTTAATGGACTGGTGTAAAGTCTTCTCTCTGCTCTAGTCTGATTTCTTTTTCTCTCCAGCCAGCCTAACGGGTGACAGAGGGAGGCGGTTTATACTGGGGGGCCGGGGCCAGCGGGTGGAGTCTGTTCATGCATGATCTTTCTAGGTTTACTTAGCAAAATACATCCTCTGGCTGCTGGTGTTGTAAGAGATGACTATTCATAAGGAGAGGACTGTCAACAAGAGTTCCTGGGAAGAGTTCCTGGGAAGAAGCTGTGTCTGCAAAGACAGATTGATTAGAATTGCAGTGATGTGGAGAGGTTGGCATGTTGCCTGTCCAGAGGCTAATCATCTTATCTCAGCTCGTGTTAGCCCCCTGAATAGCCATTCCTGGAGCAAACCCCTAGCTGCCCAAGAACTAAGCTAAGGATGTCATCAGATAACATCTGAGGCAAACTTCCCCCATCTTGCTGTAACCACCTCTCTGATGGACCCACTAATGTATTTTAAACTTGGCTTGATTTATGAATTTGTTGTGCAAGTTTAAAACTTTGTGAAGCGCCGGGCAGTGGTGTTGCAGGCCTTTAATCCCAGCACTCAGGAGGGAGAGCCAGATGGATCTCTGTGAATTCCAGGACTGCCGGTCTACAGAGCGAGAACCAGGACAGGCACCAAAACTACACAAAGAAACACTGTCTCAAAACAAACAACAAACAAACAAAACTTTGTGAAGCGACTTCCACATTGTAATATATAATTTGGGGAAACCTAAATCTGTGTTTCTGGGCCATGGTCACTCAAATATGGCTCAAGAATAGACCATCTCTTATTCTCTTTATGGAAAGAGCTGTCCTGTGTCATCGTCGTCTGTGTGTCCCAGCAGTTGCCCACACTTGGTTGAATGCTTTTGCTCCTTGGTGAGGCCATCTCTACTCTTCCTTCTATCCCTGCCCAGCCATGCTTAAAAAAAAAAAAAAAAAAAAGAGTGCTTCTAGCCAGGTTCATTTCTGTGTCATGTTAGGGAAGCCTTTCTTCCTCCTCTTTTGTTTATTTTTGAGGAGAGGGTCTCCAATAGCCTAGGCTAACCTCCAATTTGCTCTGTAATGTAAAGGACCTTGAACTTTTCTGATCTTCTGCCTCCACCCCCAAGTTCTGGGATTGCAGTCTTGGGCCACTCTGCCTGGCCAGGAAAGCCTTTTAATAAATTGAGGCTGAAGAGTGGTTAAGAGCATCTTCTGCTCTTCCAGAGGACCTGAGTTGAGTCCCAGCATCCTTATTAAGTGGCTCACAATTACCTGTAACTCCAGCTTTCCAACTCCCTCTTCTGACCTCCACTCCCCTGCCCCCACAGCATAAATGCACAGACAAAATAAAAATCTTAAACATTATTACTGCTGCATACATATAGGTGAGAGAACAGCTTTTGGGAGTTGGGTTTCTGCCACCCTGTTGAGGCAGGATCTCTGGTTTCCACCATGCTATATACCTACAGCTGGCTGGCTCTTTAGCTCCCAGGCACTTCTTATCTCCACTTCCCTTCTTGACAGATTGACTCCTGGGATTACTGACATATGCAACCATAGCATGCTTTTTTTAAATTGGGTTCTTGGGATTGAAATTAAGTTGTTGGGCCCGAACAGCATTTGGAGCCCATGGAAAGCTTTTTGAATTCTGCCCTCCCTCCCCAGAAGTCCCTTTGCCTTGGCCCTGCCTCTCATTGCAGTATAGACTCCCTGGGGCCAGGGGAGGACCTTTGAGATCCAGCAGAAATGCTTGGATGGGCACTCAGAGTACAGGACAAGCTCTGGGATGGCTGGGTCTGGGGGCAGAGATGAGGGCTTGGCCCGGCTCCTCTCAGTTTGCAGGGGAAGGCAGATGCAATCCCATGCCCATAAAGGCGTTCCCATGGGGTCAAATCAAGTCCTGCAGGAGCAGAGGATTCCTTAGGCATTCATGATTATAGCACCTATTTCTTTGGACCCTTAGACTGTGATGGCTGTACCAAAATCACCATGGGGCACCTAAAGATCTACCATCCAGGGCTAACCAGTTCTCTGGCCTGACTGGTCCCATTAGCGGCTAAAGCCTGTCCACTAGGTTCCTGACAAGTCCCTTCTAATACTTCAGCACTGCCTGCCGATGGCTTTTCTTTTGCTTACTGCCTCATGCCTGGCTCTCCCCAAGCCACACACTTTATACTTCTAGCAGGCCCGCCTCTCCCGTGTCTGTCCCTGTGTGATGTCTACCTCTACTTTTCATTCTCTCCAGGGGATTAGGATGGAGCCATTTGCCCAGGAAGCGCTACTCAAGTTCACTCTTCTGTAACCATCTGCCGCTTACTGCATGCCCTGGTCACCACTGGCCTGGTAGGTGCTGAGCCCAGCTGGCATGTGGCATTTCATTCTGGTGCCTACTTCTTGGTTTTCATGATTCTACACTCCTGGATTTTCTCCTGCCTCACAGGTCACTTCAGTATTCATCCAGTTTTCTCTAAATGCCAGTGGGTCCCTCCAGCTTTTGTGTGTTGTCCCAAACTCTCCACTCTCCTTTGATGATGCTGGTTATCACCTGTCTACAACCCAGACTGCCCACCCCGATTAGTCCAGTCACTCATTACACTTCTCCCAGGCACTTTCCTTTCGACATGTCCCACACCAGACTACTCATTTTGCTGTTTCTTCCCTGTGTCATTTCTGTAAGAAACATGGTACCCATTTGGCTGTTTAGCCAGAAACTTGGGAAAAGTTGACTCCATTTCATGTTGTCAATGTCACTACATTGCTCTGTGTGTTTCCCATCATGACTGTTATCTGCTATATGGACTGCAACAGCCTTCATCTAGAACCTGTTTCCGGCCTTGCTATCTGAACTAGTTCTGTAAACGGGACCCACAGTGACTTCCCCCAGATCCCTTCTGGCATTGGTTCTAAGGATCAAACCCAGGGCCATCCACATGCTAAGCACTCTATCACCAGGCTGCACCCTTAGCCAGAGGGCACTTTTTTGTTTGTTTGTTTTGTAGACAGGGTTTCTCTGTGTAGCTCTGGCTGTCCTCAAACTCAGAGATCCTCCTGCCTCTGCCTCCTGGATGCTGGGATCAAAGGCGTGTGCCACCACCACCCTTAGCCAGAGGGGGATTTTTTTCCCCCTCTGGAGACCGAGTTTCTCTGTGTAGCTTTGCACCTTTCCTGGAACTCACTTGGTAGCCCAGGCTGGCCTTGAACTCACAGAGATCCACCTGCCTCTGCCTCCCGGGTGCTGGGATTAAAGGCGTGTGCCACCACCGCCCGGCAGCCCAAGGGAGATTTTTAAAAGGGAAATTTGATCATGTTTCTTCCCTACTTAAAACTCTTCCGCTGGGCTTCTGCTGAGATGAAATCCACCCTTCTTAGCGTTAGCGTGACTCTTCAGACCCTGGCTCCTCTTCTTTCCCTCCATGATCCAGTCAGAATGCCATTTTGAATCCTGCTATAGACTGAATGTTGGGAGCCAGAAGCTGGGCTTTGTAAGTTGACTAGATGAATGGTCCCATTTCTCCCCTCTAGAACCACTTCTTCCTGTAGAACTCGGGAACAGCGGATACTAGCTTGAAAACAAGATGCCTCCTACAGGGGATCTAAGAAACACTCCCATGAGGACGAGGCTGCCTTTTTAATGGCAATACTTCAAAAGCTTCTACCTTGAGAAGAGAAGCAGAAGGAACACAAGAGCAGAGGGGAAGGGTTAATCACATACACTGACTGGAGACTAGGTTAACAGATGAGTTGATAAATTTGGTCCAGGCAGTCCTAGAATGCTGTGTGCCTGGGCTCTGGCCAGAGGGTCAGAGACCCATTTCCTGTACCAGGAAGGAGGCCAGTCCTGGGCCCCATACCCAGGATGCCAGTCGAACTGTTTTGGATGGTGGCATCAGCCTGGGCTGCAGTCGGTCCTAGGGTCCCATTCATCACTCTCCATTGGCCTGGGTCTCTGTGCCTGTGCGCATTCCCTGTCCAGAGACACTGGGGCAGAGTGGTCCGGCTTAGAGGATGGTGAGGGTAGGGATGGAGCCGTGGCACTGTCCTGGGGCCACTCGGGCAGTGACCACAGCCAGTGTGAGACAAGGACAGCGCCTGGGCTGGCGAGGCCCAGGGAAGTTTTCATGCTCAGAGGATACTGAACTCCTGTAACTTCTCTCCTACGTAAAAGCGGGTGAAGAGGAAGGGGCTCATGTTGATGGTCTTGAACTGGCCCTCCAGTACCACTTCGGCCACAGCTCGACCGATGCCAGGTGCATGCTGAAGTCCCCGACCACTGAAGCCCGTAGCAAAGTACATGTTGACAACTAGTGGGTGGGGGCCCACCACGCCATTCTGGTCAAAAGTGTTATAGTCATAATAGCCAGCCCAGGCACTCTGTACCTGCAGATGCAAAAGATGATGAGGTTTTTGGCAAAGCCACAGCCATGCTCAACCCACAGTCTTGATCAGAGATCAGCTGCTAAAGGGGTCATGGGATGGGACCCACAGACTCCTTAGCGGTTGTTAGGTGGAGGGACCACGAGAGGGAGAGGTCAAAGGGACTAAGATGCTCCAGTATCACCCATCCTGTTTCATTCCCAAACCTAACAGAAGCAATTATTCTGTTAGTTACCTCCAGAGTCTTAAAAGATGGCACCCTCTGGACCAAATGGGGCCATACTTTGTTCCGGAAGAAATCATGGTCTACTTCCAGATTTGTTGGGTCTGGTTCTTCCTCCTAAGTGAGAGGTAGAGGCAAGGCTTATATGCTGCTTGTAATATGAGGGCAAACTGAGATCTGATTCCTATAATCAATATCCTCAGTGGATCCCAATTCTAACCTCAATGACAACATAGGGCCCCCAAAAGGTTTCCCTCTTTAATGGCATCTTATCTATGTCTCCTTGCAACTTAATTTACCTCAGTGGGGCTACAGCCACCTAAGTATTTGCTGCCCAGTCCTTCCCGTCGAAAATAGACTCCATTGATGTCTGCAACCAACGGTGTCTCCAGACCTGGTCCCTGGGGGCAGTGCCATAAGTGCACATACCTGTCATGATCAGGGGAGTTATGACATTGCAAAACTAACACCAACTCTCTGTCCAGACTACACACACACCACACACATACACAAACAAACACATCCTAAACTTTTGTATCATTTCTTTCTCATCTTCCTTAGCTGCCCTGAGGGTAGCTACCTTTTCCTTGGCTCCACAGGTAGCTTGGTGCCCTGCAGAGTACCAGGGAGTCCCTTCCCAATACCAGCCAGCTCTGCAATTTTCCCAGACCAGGCTCCTGCGGCATTGACCACGGCAGCACATTCCACTGGCTGATACTCCAGGCTCTTGTCCATTTTTACCTATAGGCAACAGAGGGTAAGAGGAAGGAGGCTGGGGTGTGTGTGGGTGGTGGTGGGGACATGACAGATGACACAACCTAATGGACTCTTGGGATGTTTATTTCCTCCTGAGCCTAACTTTATCAGTACTGGTGTGGTGACATATTGTGTACCCTAATAAAATTTGCCTGAAGATCAGAGAACAGAACATAGATGCCAGGCAGTGGTAGCACACACCTTTAATCCTAGCACTCAGGAGGCAGAGATCCATCTGGATCTGTGTGAATTCAAAGCCATCCTGGACTATGTGAGACTTGACTCAGTCTAGGAGAGAAACAGAGCAAGGCAGTGGTAGCACACACCTTTAATCCCAGTACTTGGGAGTCACACACCTTTAATCCCAGCACTTGAGATCTCATGCCTCTGCTACCAGTATTTGGGAAGCACACATGCCTTTAATCCCAGCACTAGGAAAGAAGTGATGTGGCTGGGCGGAGAAAGGTAGATAAGGTGTGAGGAGACAGAATTAAAGTTTTTCAGCTGAAGTCTTTTTGGATGAAGCCCTTTTCCTGCTGGCAGGCTTCCAGCTAAGGACTCAGAGACTTGGAGTCAGAGGATTCATGGAGTTGTCGAGGTGACACGTGGCAGTGGCTTGTTCCTTTGTCTCTCTGATCTTTCAGCATTTATCCCAATATTTGGCTCTGGGTTTTTATTGTAAGACCATTTAGGATTTGTGTTATAACTGGGAAGCGGACAGAAGACCTACATCTGGGCAGATTATCACCTTTCTTGCCCCTCTACTGTAGTAAGGAGCACAATGGAACTTGGGACTCACATGGACTTTGTGAATTCTTCTCAAGACTACCGGTTCCCCACTTGAGGTCTCTGCTTGGCTAGATGAAGTGATGAGACCTGCAGGAAAGAAAATAAAAATAAGCCCTCCAGGAAAGGTTAGCTCAGCGGTAGAGCATATATTTAGCATGCATGAGATCCTGGATTCTATCCCCAGTGCTCCCATCAACACACACACAGTGGAGGTAACTGTTTAGGAAGGATTAGGAGGTGTGACCTTGTTAGAGGAGGTGTGTCATAAGGGATAGGCACTGAAGTTTCAAAAGCTCACACTAGGCCCACTGTCTGTCTGTCTGTCTTTCTGTCTGTCTGTCTGCTGCCTGTGGATCAGGATATAGCTCTCAGCTACTTCTCCAGCACCATGCCTGCCTGCCTGTTACCATGTTCCCCACCATGCTGATAATGAAGCTATAAGCAAGCCCTTAATTAAATTCTTTCTTTTATAAGAGTTGCCTTGGTCATGGTGTTTCTTCAAAGCACTAGAACAGTAAATAAGACACATGCATACACAGAGCCCTTGAAGGAAATGGGGGAATCACACTGGTTTCTTTTGAGAGAGGGTCTCATGTATCACAGACTGGCCTCAGACTTGCTATGTAGTGGAGGATGACACTAAACTTCTGATTCTCCTGCCTGTCCCTCCAGAGTTCTGAGATTACAGGAATGTATGACTGTGACTGGTTTCTATGATGCTGGGGATAGAACCTAGGGAGATGGATCATAGTGCTTCACGCCTGCTAGCCAAGCATCCCACTTCCCACTAATGCTACATTCCTAGCTCCATGACGAACACTGGTTTCTCAAGGAAAGAGGATGAGAAGAGTAAGTGCTTTCCCATAGACACTTAAGTGAACAGACATCAAGAAACCAGAATAAATGTGGCCACACAAGAACAGGGCCGTGCAGCGAGGAGAAAGCAGTTTAGCAGTAGCCCTCTCACAGAAGACAGCCCCTTACACCAATCCTGTGAGCCTGTGAGCAAAAAGGCAGAGCCTGGCCAAGGCCTTGTCCTGGCTGCAAGACATAAGCTGGAGGAATGAGACTTTGGACTCACGTGTCACCTCTCCCTGGCAGAGTAAGACTCCCATTGATTGGACCTTTCGACGAAGACCCTGGAGCAGAGCCCGGGCATCAAACCAACCTTCATCCTCCATCCCTGACATAAGGACAAAGAAAACTCATGAAGCACTGGAACCCTCCTTTTCCAACTGTATACCCAACACACTTTTTTTAGAAGCAGGGAAGGTCATCTTGATCAACTGTACTGGAGTCTAGTCATGCTGGAGGCTAGAAAAGTAGCAGGGTCTGGGGCAGGCTATGTTACTCAGGAGTAAAGTGGTCCTCCTTCAGTGTGGAGAAGGCACACTGAAACTTCCAACCCCAGGAGCTCTTCAGTCTCCATCTTCATGGGAAGAAAGCCATGTGCTCTGCAGGTGAACCTCACCATACGAGGCCACAGCCACTCCTTCTATGTTTATCCAGGGAAACTTGTTCTGGAGCTGCTCAGGAGACATCAGACAGACTTTGGCTCCTTCCTGCCTAAGAGAAATGTGTGCATCTCAGTTACTGTGTTAGGGAGAGTATTCATCGGGGAGGAACATGGACCCCGACTCCATGAGATGGAAGTCCAGCTCACTGATAGCCCTCTCTACCCCAAATAGCCCCATTTCTCCTGACTGCTGAATGTGACAGCTTATCTTTCCTTCTCTACACTCCTGTCTCCCTTCAGAATTCTCAACTTCTTCTTGCCCCAACCTACTCCATCTCCTTTTACAACATGGTGAGGAACCATGTCCATCAACTCCTGTAAATACCTTCTTTTCTACTACTTGGTACAACCCTGTCCCTGAGAATGAGTGTCTCCTCTGGAACACTTACTGGCTGGGGAATGAAAGTGCTAAGAAACACTCCTATGAGCTAGTATCTATTTTAAACTGAATCACAGTGCCAGCTTTACTAGATCTTCTTGCCTCAGTTTCCCCACATGTAAAACGAGATGTTCTGATTAAATGAGTTAGCACCTGCAAACATTTATCTGTTGTCACTAGTGAGATTTATAGCATATCAAAAGAGAGCCTGTACATAACGTATCACAAAGATGCCCAATCCTTAACTGATGTGAGGCTCACATGCTGAAGCCAACCTGCTGCTTACTTTTATATATGGACCACACTCAATTATTTGTATTTTTTTGTCTGTGGCTGCTTTTGTGCTATAATGGCAGAACAGACAGGTTGTAACATAGACAAAATGACAAGCAAAACCTAAAATATTTACTGTCTTACCTTTTTAAAAAGAACTTTGCTGACCCCTAAATTAGGATTCTTGTTAGAAGCCCAGTCCCCAGGCCACTCCTTAGAGATTCTGGTTTGTTAGGTTTGGGATGTATGTTTTCATCTGGTGAATGTAGGAACCACATTCTGTCCATAACTGGGTTATAGCACTCCTCATGGGCCTTGAAGGTCTGAATAGGTCCATCTTTCCTGATAATATGAGCTAGCAGAGAGGAGGCTCCTGTGACACCACCTTCAGCTTCCCCATTTCTAGCTTGGCACGGGAGCTCATCAAGTATGCAAAGCCAAGCAGCTCAGGGCAGTGCTACATACCCACCTTTGCATTTTCACATTGCTTTCCAAGGTGGCAGCATCTTTTTCTGAAGCTAGCAAGAGACAGCCTGAGGGGTTGAACCGGAGGTCCACAAGAGGGGCATCCACTACAGCCAGGTATTCCTGTGTACAGAGAAAAGCTGTTCTCCAAAGAGGCTGGCATAAAGGGGAGCCTCCTGGCCTTCTCACTGCAGCTCGCAGGGTCAATGCCCCAGATCAGGACAAACCCTTCTCTAGGCACCAACACTGGAAGACTGCCAGGGATCACAATGGCTTGCTGCCTCTAACACTATTTCTCCTCGGTTCCCCTTGCCAGCTAGGCTTCTGTTCTTTATGCTTTATCCCTACCCCAGCCCCTCAAATCTCATGGTACATACGTTTATGTTCCGCAGAAAGTTGATTGAAAAGAGGGAGAGTTGGACATTCTCAGGCACAGAAAATTGCTGCCAAATCCCGCCCACAGAAGGCCCTGTGGAGGAAGCCCGTGAATACTGTGAAAAGAAAAACTGAGGTAGACTGTCATGACGTCATATGTAAGGGAATCCTGCAATGAAAGCTCTCAGTTACACACGTAAACTTAGAGGGGAATCCTTTCTCAAGGAGCAAGGAAGTGTAAACCTGTATGCAAGTCAACCAACCCACAGCTCAAAGATAAACATAGTGTTTTACATCATCTAAATCATCAGTGACACATGAACAGAGCAGAAGTAAATTGTCTTACAGGGCTGGACATAACAGACTAAGTAGTAATGGCCTGGAAGCCCAAGGGTAGGAGGTTAACCTTGCAACAAGTTTACAAAACAGTTTACAAAACTGGAAAGTTATAATGAAGACAGACATGAGATTTGCAGCTAACGGCCAATCACAAACAAGAACAACCAAGACTTCAGAAATAATGGAGCCTAAAAGAAGGCAGAGGAAGCTGTTTGCACTAATAAGTAGCCCAAATACAAGCTATCTTGGACAGACCTTCACATACTGAAGTACAATCACTGTAGAATCTGCTTTTACAAGCAAAAGTCTAGGCAAATGTGCAGGAGTGCACTTGTAATCCCAGCACTTGGGAGGCTGAGACAGGAGGGTGTTGAGTTCAAGGCTGGCCTAGGCTATATATTGAGACCCTGCCTCCAAAGAGATTAAACAAGGTGACAACACCTCCTCCCCTCCCTCAACAAAACAATCTTATTGCCAAGGGTCTTCTTGGAGGAAGAACCTGGGACTATTTCTCAAGGTCCAAAGCACAACCCCTGCCCTTTGAACTTCTACAGGTTGTATAAGTCATCTCGATAAGATGACTACCCTACTCCCTGACCTCACCGTGTGGTCTTGTTCCACCACCATCACCCGGATGGCACCTCGTCTACTTTCCAGCTTCTTCAGCCAAAAGGCCACAGACAGACCAAGGATCCCACCTCCTACGATGACCACATCCGATTGTTTGGGGGGCAGGTGGCTGGTGTCGTACAGCAATTCCCATTGCTTTCCAGGCAGGATGCACTCAATCTTCTTCTTAAACTCAGACACCTTTGCATCCCAGTCTGCAGGACATAGTTACCGTTAGAGGGACTTAGGTTTCCTTCCCACATGCTGTGGGGTTGGAGGATGGGCACAGGAAAAGGTGGCCCGAATAGACATGTGGGTTGGCACGTCTCCAATGTCATCCTTCCTCACAAGATCAACTCACACGCAGCAGTACTGTAACAACTTTGCTGATCCGTCTTTGCCCCATCAGTCCCCACTATTATGCACCTCCTCTAGCAGTGAAAGATTCGACTTCCTAAAATTACACTTTCTACTTCCCTGGACATGCTAGGTGACTCACATATTTAGCTCCTGCAGACCTCTCTCCCTCCTGAATCCATTCTCAGATATTCAACTGCAGTCAGCCCATTCAGGTATCCCAGGCGCAGGAAACATGAGTTCCTAGTATACTTCATTACCACACAGCCTTCTAAAGCTGGCCAACTTTATATGGTCCCTTATCCTTAACATCCACTACCACCAGCAAGCTTCCATTTACATGGAATTGTCCTCTGGAAAGGGCCTCCTTGAGCTCCATATACCTGTCTTGGCTCTTTAATCTCTAGCAGGCAAGCCTACCCCAGTCCCCAGCTAACTCGCTGTCCCGCCAGCATGAGGCAGGGTGTCAAACCTTGAAGGTCACATAGGTGGAGGTTATGGGTACCCCAGAATCACTCCGTATAATATACTCTCTGCTGCCCTCAGCTTTACCCAGAGTAAAGCCTCCTCTGCGTGTGCGTAGCCCCCGGTTTGGGAGGCCCGGGCCCAAGCCAAGACGCAGCAATCTGCGAAACATGGCCTTACAGAGCCCGGCTCCTTCCAGCTTGAAGTGTCGCTCAGCCCCACTCCCGTCCGGCTAGTCATCGCTCCGCGCCACCCGGCATTGACGCGAATGTGCCGATTAGCCGGCTTTGCCCTTCAGGCCCCACCCCTCCAACGCTATAGGGAGCCAGCTTCCCGGGAGCCCCGCCCACGCCTACTATTGGTCAGCCTTGCTTCTACGTCAGTCCCGCGCGCCCTGGGCGGGGAGGGGGCGGGACCCCGGCGGCTCGTAGCGGAAGTGCGGCTGAGCCGGTTTCCGGGGGCTGCTGGTGTGACGTGTCCCGCGCTTGGCGCAGCAGGAAGCGGCGGCGGACGCGGCCCGAGTTCCCGGCGCCGGCTTCGGCCCCAAGTCTTCTCCCGCTTCCATCATGCTCGACTTCTTCACCATCTTCTCGAAGGGCGGGCTTGTGCTCTGGTGTTTCCAGGGCGTGAGCGACTCGTGCACCGGGCCCGTGAACGCGTTGATTCGATCCGTGCTGCTGCAGGTACCACCCCCGCGGGGCAAAACTCTGGGCTGTCCCTCAGATCCAGTCTTTAGTTCCCCCTTCCAGTAATCATCCTGCGCCTTCCGCCCTGCCCCCCTCAAACTGACCACTGACCGGCCACCTAGACTCAACTTCCTTGCCTGGCATCACAGTATCCCGAAACTTTACGACGCCCCCCACACCTCCCGTATCTGGGGCTGTATCCGTATTCCGGCTTCTGATGGGACTTGATTACTCTCTCTATCCAACCGGGGCAGCTTGGTTTTCTGTTGTTTTGAGACTGGGTGAGACTGTGGGTGAGAGAACACCTTTCAGGAACATTAAATGGCTCACAGCTGCTGGAAGATTTGCTTGTTTGTGTATGGTTGTTTATCTTCTGGCGCCCACGTGTCATGCCATCCCTCCCAACTTGACCCTTTGCCTCAACTTGGTGTCTCCCCCCCGTGCTGGGGTGCTAGAGAGAAATTGTCTCAGTACTCCCTTGCTGAGGCCAGGATAATACCTGGTTATTGCCCAAACGTAGTTCAAAGTCTGGTTTTGCTATGGATAGCCTGAACACTGAAACACTCTTTTTCCAGGAACGGGGAGGTAACAACTCTTTCACTCATGAGGCCCTCACACTCAAGTATAAACTGGACAACCAGTTTGAGCTGGTGTTTGTGGTAAGTGGAGGGTGTTCTAGAAAGACAAGTTATGTTCTCAACAGAATCCCCATTGATGAACCCAATTAACTGTATTGTGTATGTGATAAATAGATTAAAAATTTGGAATGTGGAGGGGAGAAAGAAAGCAACTTCTGGGCAAGGTGGGAAGCTTGGCTACCTCTCAGGACGGGAAACCTATCTCTGGAGGCCTGGGTTGAGTTGGCCTCCTTCCATTCTGGGCTGACATGTAAGGAGATCCGTTGGCCCTCTTTCCTTCCATAAACAGGTTGGCTTTCAGAAGATCCTCACACTGACCTATGTAGACAAATTGATAGATGATGTACATCGGCTGTTTCGGGATAAATACCGCACAGAGATCCAACAACAAAGTGCTTTAAGTCTATTGAATGGCACTTTTGATTTCCAGAATGACTTCCTGCGGCTTCTTCGGTGAGAGGCTTCCCAACTCTTTAAAATCAATGTTTGTGGTTTGATAAGTGCCCTGCCTGCGGTGGCTCAACAACATTAACTTATGGGTTCATCACAGTCATATTTTGTAGCTCATCTCAGATTATCCCTTTGATATGTGAGACCGTTTTCTGGAGTCAGGTTTTTCTTTTTCCCCTCGTATGTGGTAGAAAGACCAACCATTCTCTCTTCTCTTTAGTGAAGCAGAGGAGAGCAGTAAGATCCGTGCTCCCACTACCATGAAGAAATTTGAAGATTCTGAAAAAGCTAAGAAACCTGTGAGGTCCATGATTGAAACACGGGGGGAAAAGACCAAGGAAAAAGCAAAAAACAACAAAAAAAAGGGGGCCAAAAAGGAAGGTGTGTTTGAGCATGAACGTACCAGGCCATGGAGGTTAGGGTGGCGCTAAAGGTCTGTGGTGTTCCTTTTGTCGTTGCTTGCTTTCCTCGGTGTCAGTGCTCACCACCCTGTCATCCCCTTGTGGCCCCCCTTGTGGTTACCAAGGTGTTTGGTCCAAGTTTGCTCTTAAGGATTTGGAAGGATTGTCATCATCTGGGTGTTTGGGGCTTGTGTTTTTTTTTCTCCAGTGAGGTTTCTCTTAACAGGTTCTGATGGCCCTTTGGCTACCAGCAAAACAGCCCCTGCAGAAAAGTCAGGTCTCCCCGTGGGACCTGAGAATGGAGAACTTTCCAAAGAGGAGCTGATACGAAGGAAGAGAGAGGAGTTCATTCAGAAGCATGGGAAGGGTCTGGACAAGTCCAGGTGAGCAGTCGGTTAGTCAGTCTCTCTGGTTACTTACCCAGCTGTGTTAGAGGTCAGGGAACTGCCTTGTCTTATGTTCTTTTTTACTTTTCTACCATAACTCTTTCTCATATGGTCCTTTGCAGCAAGTCTACAAAGTCAGATATTCCAAAGGAGAAAGGCAAGAAAGCACCCCGGGTTTGGGAACTAGGTGGCTGTGCTAACAAGGAAGTCTTGGATTACAGTGCTCCCACCACCAATGGAACCCCAGAGGCTGCCCTGTCTGAAGATATCAACTTGGTAAGAAGCATAAAGATCAGAGCAAAGGTCACTGTTAACCAGAAAGAGTTGGAAGGTATACCTGGATTTGAGAGGAGGGAACTATATTTGGAGTTTCTTCAAGGTCTCAGGCAATGTTGTCAGGGCATGGGATTTTTTTCCTCAGCTGTTAGTGTTCCTGATCCCATCTCCTTCCTTTGCCCATGTCCTCCAGATTCGAGGAACTGGGCCTGGGGGGCAGCTTCAAGACCTGGACTGCAGCAGCTCAGATGATGAAGGGGCCACTCAAAACACCAAACCTAGGTAGGAGGACTGCAGGAGGGAGGTGCGCTGGGTGGCTGCAGTATTGATGAGCCCCACTTCCTGCCTGCTGGCCTTATGCGTGTTTCTGACCTTCTATGCTTGTAGTGCTACCAAGGGAACTCTGGGTGGCATGTTTGGGATGCTGAAGGGCCTTGTGGGTTCCAAGAGCTTAAGTCGTGAAGACATGGAGTCTGTGCTAGACAAGATGCGTGATCATCTCATTGGTGAGTTTGGAGAACTGGGCTGACTTATGTGGCATAGAGTTGATTATGGGTAGAACCATTTTCTAAGTTGTACTCTGAGAGTTGATCATTGCTAACACAAAACTCACAGCTGTTCCTCTCTTCTCAGCTAAGAATGTGGCTGCAGATATTGCTGTCCAGCTCTGTGAATCTGTTGCCAACAAGCTGGAAGGGAAAGTGATGGGGACGTTCAGCAGTAAGTATCTGCACACGTCATCAAGTGCACATGCATTTCAGGTGAGAGTCAGACCTCTTGGGTATGTGCCTTTTGGCAAACACCTTCATTTCTAAATCGCTATAACAGCCTTTAGAACTTAATAGATCAGTTAAATGAGCTAATCAAGTACTTAGAACAATATGATCTGAATTCATGGGAAAACTGCATGGTCCTAAATTTATTAGATCAGGAAGATGTTGGGTATCAAGTATGATACTTGGTTTTCTGAATGAATCCCTTCATCACCCTTTTAAGCCGTGACTTCCACAGTCAAGCAAGCTCTACAGGAGTCTCTGGTACAGATTCTGCAGCCACAGCGTCGAGTAGACATGCTCCGGGATATCATGGATGCCCAACGTCGCCAGCGCCCTTATGTTGTCACCTTCTGTGGCGTTAATGGAGTGGGGAAGTCTACTAATCTTGCCAAGGTTAGCTCAGTTCCCCAGCCTGCTGCTTTTTCTTTTTCACCCTGTGCTTTAGAGCCCTGGCTCTACGTGACAGTGTTCTTAACTATTTTGCAGATTTCCTTCTGGCTCTTAGAGAATGGCTTCAGTGTCCTTATTGCTGCCTGTGATACATTTCGGGCTGGGGCTGTTGAGCAGCTTCGTACACACACCCGGCGTCTGACTGCCCTCCATCCCCCTGAGAAGCACGGTGGTCGTACGATGGTGCAGTTGTTTGAAAAAGGCTATGGCAAGGACGCTGCCGGCATTGCCATGGAAGCCATTGCTTTTGGTACAGTGTGGGGCGACCTGGGGGTCTTAGTGTCTTTTTTGTATTCCCTGGGAATTTGCAGACTTAGGCTACTATAAACTTTTACCACAAGGTTACCAGAGAAGTCACCTGTGTGGGTGATGTTTTTGGGTGGTAATGTGTATAGTTGAAGGGAAAAAAAAGCTAGTGTGTCTTAACTACAGACCTGAATGTCGTCACCTTTATCCTACTTATATCCTTTCCCTGAACGGTTTTGGTGGTGGCCAAGAATAGGACAGGTTTTTTGTTACATTACCTTGTAACTAAATCTAGAGTCCAAGTAAGTAAACAGGATAGGCTTTTCAAATAGCTAGACTGGGACATCTCAAGAAGCTGGCAGTGAGAATGAGTGACATTTGAGTGGCTTTTCACATAGCCAGAGTAGGAAATCTTCACAAGTTAGCTGTGAATATGAGTGACAGTTGTGTGCTTGGAGTTGATTGTTTTTCTCTCTCTAGCACGTAACCAAGGATTTGATGTGGTGCTGGTGGACACAGCTGGCCGCATGCAAGACAATGCCCCCCTGATGACTGCCCTGGCCAAACTCATTACTGTCAATACACCTGACTTGGTGCTGTTTGTGGGGGAGGCCTTAGTAGGCAATGAAGCCGTGGATCAGCTGGTGAGGGCTTGGGCCTAGTTCCCTTCACAGCTTAAACTTTGGCAAATTAGATGGGTCCTTATGTTACTTTTTCCCTTTTCAGGTCAAGTTCAACAGAGCCTTGGCTGACCATTCTATGGCTCAAACACCTCGTCTCATCGATGGTATTGTTCTTACCAAATTCGACACCATTGATGACAAGGTAAAGGTAGTTGACACTGGATGAGACTGGAAGGAGGCATTTAGTGTAAACAGGGCTTGAGTTGATTGGCCATCCTCTTTTTCTTCTTCAGGTGGGAGCTGCTATTTCTATGACATACATTACAAGCAAACCCATCGTCTTTGTGGGCACTGGCCAGACCTACTGTGACCTACGCAGTCTCAACGCCAAGGCTGTGGTGGCTGCCCTCATGAAGGCTTAATGTGGCTCTTGCCTAATACCAAATCGCCGCTTGCCCCAAGTCCCCATTCCTCTATCAAGAATGTGCTTTAGAGTATGTGAGCACCTTGTTTTCAGTGTAGTACAAAGGCAGAGTGAGGGGAGCTTTGGAGACTTGCAGCTCTAACCCTACTCCATGTTCAGCCCTACCTCCTGCAAGGAGGGCCTAATCATGTTACAATCACTGCCCGATGACCCTTATCACCACAAGCCTCCCTCTTCCTACTCAGGCATCTCCTTCACTCTGCCTATAGATTCAGTATCATAGCTTTGACCAATGGTTGGAAAACCCAACACCTGGAGTATTGCTAACTAGCCAGAGCCATCTGAGATAAGGAGCAGTTTGAAGTCCCAGCTCTATTGGGTTACTTCCAGAGCCAGCTCTGGGTCTTAATGGCACCTCTCTCTAGAATATAGCTTTCGGGTCCCTGGTGCCAGGTAACAGCCACCTCACTGTGGCAGTGATGGTGGTCCATTCTTAATTGCTGCTAATTCTAAATCTGATGATGAACTCTACACCTGATTGTTGCCCCAAAGCATCAGTTAGACCTTGTTACAAATGAGTGAAAGGTGGGTGCCCACTTCTCAGAAACAAAGGGAGCTGAGTTGCCTTCCAACTTGTCCCTGCTCCCAGAATCCTGATGTAAGCTTTGCATGTTTACCTTCCTGGGAGAAAAGCAGTTGTCAAAAGGGTTATCGTTGTCCTGTACCCCACCCCACTCAACCCTTGGCCTCCTGAACAGGTCCTGGCTTTTCCTCATCCTCTTCTACAGTGCCTGGTAGACAAGTGCTACGTTGAAGAACACAAACCTCTTGTTAAGACTTGTCCTGTAGTTTGGTATTACAGATGTGCTACTAGTGCAATAAGGTGAAGGCTGTCTGCCCAGAGAAATACATAATTTATATAAGAAAATAAATTTCATAAAGAAATTGCCTCTTAGGTCTATATTATTTTATATAGAATTCAAAACTAAAATGCTAACTCATACTAGCTGTAGTTCTTGGGCTTCTTTTTGGCAAAAAGGGCATGATAGGAACTGACAGTACTCTGAGGAATTGGACAAGTGCTTGCCCTAACAAAGATCACTAAGATGAAAATAGATTGCAAGTTTCAAGTTTGACAGTTAACTCTTCGAAGTAGAGCCAGGGCCCTGGCAAATAAATGAACAGGCTTTTAATACAGCTCAGTTATGTAAAATACTGTACACTGTAAAAGATCTAGAAAACTAGAGCTTCAAGTCATGTTTTAAAAAAGCCATAAGCTCAATTGAAAAAACCAAGTAGAGTACAAAACTGCAACAAGAGCCCACTGACTCCATGACTTCTTGCTCCCCAAGTCCTGCAGAGCTGCAGCCACAGCCAGGAGCCATCACATTGGTCTGCTGTGTAGACAAGCATGTCCAGCCTTGGGGTAGGGAGGGGCTACATTGGGTCCTGATGTCATTGGGTATTAAACTGGACCAGGCAGCAGAGTATCAAGAAACAGCCAGCATGAAGGGAAGGTGCAACACTGCCACCCCTATGCTACCCCAAGCTTCAGCTTCTGGGTATTGGTACTTCCTGGGAGCGGTGCTGAGTTCTTGTTTGTTTGCATGTTAAACACATCCACAGGAAGGCCCCACAGTGTGGTCTAATGGTGATTTCTCCAGCTTGCTCATGTACTACAGCCTATGGGGAAACAAAAAGAAGAGAATGAAGTTCTACAAAGCAAGTCTATGCATCTAAAGCTGCAGATGCTTACTTAAGTCAGTCTTAAGTTTTCAGAAAGCAGATTCAGAGAATCTCAAACAGGTAGGAAAGGCAAATTTTGATTCTCCACAATGTCAAAGTTCTAGGAAATTTTTCTGCTGACAGATTAAATAGGAAGTAGCATACCTCTCATTTCACCGTGTGCTGCAGATGAGCCATTTAGCTGGCCTTCTCTTGCCATCCCTGCTAAAAACAGAAGAACATTGGTAGAGGCATTAGGTGAAGAAGCAGAAACTTTTTTTTTCCATTTTCATTTTGTGTGTTGTGTGCTCTTTGGGTGTTGGTTCTCATCACTGTGTGGATTGCAAGGAACTCAGGTTGTCAAACTTGGCAGCAAATGCCTTTACCCACAGTCATCTTGCTGTTTCTGGGAAAGCTAAAACTATTAATGGCAAAAATGAAAACTAAGGGGAGCTAAGGGCACAGGTATAACTAAAGATGACATTTAGGAATGACACAAGATAAGGAAGAGTAACCTTCAGACTATCAATACTAGCCGGGCGGTGGTGGTGGCACACGCCTTTAATCCCAGTACTTGGAAGGCAGAGGCAGGCAGATCTCTGTTGAGTTCGAGGCCAGCCAAGTGAGTTCCAGGAAAGGTGCAAAGCTACACGGAGAAACCCTGTCTCGAAAAACCAAAAAAGAAAAAAGAAAAAAAAAAAAAAGCAGACTATCAATAATGAACAGAAGCAGTGGGTTCCTTACTGCACTAAGATTGGTTTTTTGTTTAAATGGATCTCACTGTTACCACATTAGGGTTACAGCTCCAGATTTTCTAAGCTCTGGCCTCCCTGGTAGTTGGAATTCTAGCTGTGTACTACTTTGAAAGCCTTTGCAAGACTGCTTGTAAACATTTTTTTATTTTAATTTTTTAGATTACATAGTTTCCTGTATATATGTTTCTGTACCATGTGCATAGCTGGTGTCTGAGGAGGTCAGAAGAGGGTGTCAGAACCCTTAGAACTGGAGTTACAGATGGTTGTGAACCATCATATAGGTGCTGGGAGTTGAACCCAGGTTCTCTGGAGCAGTCAAAGCTCTTACCCAATTGAGCTGTATCTCCAGCCCCCAGAACATTTTACATAGACAAAATGTGGCTGCTTACTCTATCCCCAGCAAGTACACACATGCAGCTAATTTGAATGAAAAAATTCTGTACCTCAGTCTCACTATATTTCATGTGGTCAATATGTATGTAATAAATACAAAGTAGGGCATGGTGATGCGGGCTTTTTTTTTTTTTTTGGTTTTTCGAGACAGGGTTTCTCTGTGTAGCTTTGCGCCATTCCTGGAGCTCACTTGGTAGCCCAGGCTGGCCTCAAACTCACAGAGATCCACCTGGCTCTGCCTCCCGAGTGCTGGGACTAAAGGTGTGCGCCACCACCGCCCGGCCGTGATGAAGGCTTTAATAGGGTGAGGGATCATTATTAGTTCAAGGCCAGCCTGGGCTGAACAGCTACTTTAAGGCAAATACAGAGCATAAGGCGAAACCTCTGGTTTTATTATTTATTTTTATTTTTAAGGTGTCCAAGACTAAGCTTTGTTTACAACTGTGAAAAAAATGTATTGGTTAAATCAGAAATCAGTTTGGTTAAATTGGTTACTGGTTAAATCAGTTACTGGTTAAGTAGCTGAAATAACATTGTGCTAAAATAGTTGCTGGTATAGTAATGTTTTACACTCTTCTGTTCCCCGTGATGACTTCTCAGCAGCATGTATCTACTTAAAGCATAATAGATGGAAGACAGGCTTGACTCCATACAAAATGAAGAAAAACTGCTCTGGTAGACTGGAAGTTACCTGACAGACAATTCCAGTGGAGAGCCCCATGATCATATGGAAAACCCTTGATTTAAAAATAAACAGACTGGGTGGTGGTGGTGCATGCCTTTAATCCCAGCACTTAGAAGAAAGAGGCAGGCCCATCTCTGAGTTTGAGGACAGCTAGGGCTACAAAGAGAAACCCTGTCTTCAAAAAACAAAACAAATTAAAAATAAACAGAATGGCTTCTTGACTGGTAAATGGAAAGGTACTCTAGAGAGCCTGGCAGCCTGTAAATACCTGCACCACTCCACAATATCCAGGATGCTAACAGAAAATTGAGTGCAACAGGAGGGACTGTTGTTCAGACTACTGCTTCACACAGCACTTTTTCCTGGTAGAGGATCCAGTGTAGATCAAATTAACTGGAGAGCTTGAGTGTGTGTCTCCAGTTTATATAATCAGAGCACATGCAAGAGAAAAATTCAACCCCGTGTTGCAAACAGTCTAAAGGTTTGTCACACTGAGAGACACCAGAAAAACTGTCCTCAAGAAAAAGATGGCAGCTCATTTCACAAAAGAGACAAAGTTCAAAGATTTGCCTTTCTAAGTGTCTTCTAAGCCTCTGGAGAGAGAGGGGAAGAGTACATGAAGCCTTTGGTGTTCAGTTATAGTAACAGCGTTTTAAATAAAAGACAAGTCTCCTACTTTAGCCCAGAACTCTCAACAGACCTGCTTCAGCCTACCAAGCACTGCCATGACAGAACTCAAATTAGAATTCTTTTTCAATTAGATTTAGGGACATATACTAGATTACCTGTATTTTAATGTGTCATCTAAGATACATTCAAATTGGAAACAGAAATACTCATTAAAAAGTTTGAAGCAAGGCTAGAGAGATGACTCAGCGGTTAAGAGCACTGGTTGCTCTTCCAGAGGACCTGGGTTCAATTCCCAGCACTCACATGGCAGCTCACAGCTGTCTGTAACTCCAGTTCCAAAGCCTGACACCCTCACACAGACACACATGCAGGCAAAAACAACAGTGAACATAAAGTAAAAAACAAAACCACACACACACACACACACACACACACACACACACACAAATATTTGAAGCAGGGTAGGCATAGTAGGTGTGTGTCTATACAGTTGTGAAGTTGAGACAGAAGGATTCAGAGTTTGAGGCCAACCTGGACTACATAGTGACTTCAAAGCCAGCATAGTCTACATAGCAAGTTCTTGTCTCAAACAAAACTAAAAACAAGACAAAAACACCCAAAATAAAAAAAAAAAATCAACTAACCAATAAACCCAGGTTCTTTAGCAAGTCTATAACAAACAGCAAGAAAATTCCTTTAGAATTGGGTGGGCGAGTGAATGACCATACCCTTGCCTTATTCCCCCAAGTCCCACAGGTTTCCCCACCTCAAGCTGGGCTCTTGCTATGTTACCCAGGCACATCCTCCAGCCACAGCTTTCTGAGTGCAGAGATTATAGGTAGGTGCCACAATGGCCTTCTGAGTGCAGAAATTATAGGTAGGTGCCACAATGGTTCTTCACACTTTCATCTTTAATTCAGTGTGTGCAATCACATTATTTCTTTAGGCAAACTTTCTTAAGGGAAACTTTCTTACAGGATAAATAATATCAGAATTTCTGAAACAAAAGGTCCTGAAATTTTTGATATATACATGAAAGAAATTTCCTTATAAACTTAGCCAAGGCTGAACAGTCACTTATCTCCTTTGTGAAACCTGAATTTCAATTACATCTCACTTGAACTAAGCATCTTCAAAAATTTTTTCTTTAGGATTTTGTGTGTGTATTTGTGTGTGCCCATGGAAACCAGAAGAGGGGGTCAGATCTAGAACTGGAGTTAGAGGAAGTTGTGAGCTTCCTGACATGGTTTTGTTGGCACTGACTGAATTTGGGTCCTCTGGAACAAGAGCAAGTGCTCTTAACAACAAGCTGTCTCTCCAGCTCCTCAAAGATTTTTTATTATATGTATGTGTGATACATGTGTAGGGCATGCATGTGCCACAGTACATATGTGGAGGTCAAAGGACCATTGTCAGGAGTAGGTTCCTTTCCACGGTAGGTTAAGAGACTGAGTCAGGTAATCAGCCTGAGTGGCAAGTGCTTTTTCCTGCTGAGGGAAGCTGGCCTGAAGCTAAGAATCTTTACATGTTTTTCTTACTCTCTATGTATATGATGACTTGCAAGGGTATATATTATGATTATTTCCCCAATATCAAAATGGCACTTTGGTGTGACCTGAAGACAATTTCCCCTCTCCCCAAACTGGTCAGACACTATACATTCCCTATCTTGGTAGTGATTTTATTCATCACACACAAAAAAAGCCAAAGGGTTGCTGCTCTTTGATCTTCCCTTACCTCTTGTGGAGATCTCCCATGTCAGTCGCTTGAAATATTCCGGAAGATCAGCATAGTCATTTCCATAGGAGATGACCTTAATCCCCTTGTCCAGCATGTTTTCTCGAAGTTTCTTGAACTCATCTACATCTCCTCTCCGAACCAGCATGAAATGTTCTAGGTCAGATTTGTGCTTGACAGCCTCCAGGAACAGGGCCTGGAAAGTGGTGTCATCCACCGTCCAGCCACAACCCAAGAAAAGAAATGACTTGTTTTCATAGAGTTTCTGAATCTCTCTCTTCAAGGAAAAGAAAACAACATATTAGTGACACAGAAGACAGACACAAGACAGCTGAAGCAAAAAGGTCAACAGTCCATAACTGCTACATTTAGCAAACTGCAATAACCCACTGATGAAGATTTAAGAGGGAAAGACATTACAAGAAGGTCTGATTTCCTAGTTATTATTACAATGTGACGCTTAGTCTAAAATTGCACTTAACTGACATTCTTCTGAAGGTTCTCGTTTCTTTAAAAAAGATATATTATTTTGTGGATATGATGTATGTACATGAGTGTGCATGCCATAGAATGCATGTGGAAATCAGAGGACAACCATGAAGTCATCTCTCTCTGTCCCATCTTTACATGGGTTCCATGGGTTCCAGGGATTGAAGTCAGACTGCAAGGCTTGCACAACCAGGGTTTATTATAACCAACTTTTATTATATATAGTTATTATAATAATAATTATATATTATATATAATATTATATAACTATTATTATAACCAACTGAGCTGTCTCATTGGTCCTTCTGTTTTGTTGAAACAGTTTCACCACATTGGCACTAGTCTACTGGCCATACAGGGTTAACTTTTTAGAGTTATGTTCTTGGTTAATTAGATAACCAATGGGTCTTTGATGTATCTTACCCCTTTCCACTTTCTGGAAAAATTTGACAACTTCAAATTTTTATTTATTTTTTGAGTGAGTATGTGTACATGCATGTTACATGTAATATGTAGAGGCTAGAAGCTGATGTTGGGCTTCCATTGCTCTCCATTTTATATATTGAGGCAGGTCTCTTATTTGAACCCTAACATGTAGATTCAGCTAGTCTTAACTAGACAGCTGACCCAGAGGGTCTCCTCCCATCTCCACCTTTCAAATGTTGGGATTACAGACACATGGCACTGTCCTTGGCATTTATGTCAGTGCTAGGGCTAGAACTAAGTTCCTCACTTTGTGGGGCAAGTGCTTTGTTCCCACTGGGCCATCTTGCCAGCCCTCAAATCATTTTTGCCTTACAAACTGATCATCAGAAAACGTAATTCTGTCATTAGATATGGTCAAAGAAGCCTGACTACTTCAAACACTGCTCTGTGTGTATATATAATTTGCATATAGCACACACACACAAATTAGAAATGATTTTGCTTCAGTATCAATGATGGATATACTTATAGTAAATATCAGGGAAGGATAAGGCCCTTACACTTCAGAAAGCATTACATTTCCTGGTCTTTCTCTGGCCCCGTCCTGTAAAGACTCCATGTGACCCTGTCCTGAAAACTTCTAGCACTGAGCTGGACCCAAGAAGCATTTCCAATTTAAACATGTATATGTGAACAAGTCCAAAACTTGAACCCCAAAGATCAACAGACCCAAAGAAGAAAACCTCCATTTTGTCATTCTAATTTGTTTTTCAATTTTTCCAAGTAAACAGTCAAGTGTGAATGGACAGTCTTTCAATAATCTATGCCCCAACTGTAACTGTTTCTTAAAAAGCTGACTAAATAAGAAACCAAATGAAGGAGACTAATATATTCTTGGTATGTGAAGGTGACGCCAATGAGGTCGTGCCTCTGCTGGCTGTTCACCAAGCTATGACCTTACACCTGAAGTCAAATTTCTGCACTTCCCAGGATAGCATGCACACCCAGGGCTACAGACAAGGGAGTAAGGTCTGACTTTCTAGTTGTCTTGATTAATGAGAAGTAAATGCTCCCCTGTTAATACTTAGAATATGCTTAGAAACGTCTTCAGGAGCTAGAGCCCAGCTAGATCAGCACCACTTACCATAACTTCAGTGTTCCTGAGCACATTCTGATATCCAGCTGGGTGGAGGACAATGCCACTAGGATTGGTATAGACCCCATGGATGTGTAACACACTTAGCTTCCGCTTCTCCTGAGCCCACTCCAGGACCTGCACAATACACACACAGCTCGACCAGGATGGCAAGGCGAGCACCTGCTTCAAAGTCACAAGGTGTAAGAGGCTGCCTGAGGATCGGACTTCTGATATAACTGTCCAGCCTCACGGTATCATAAGGACAAGAATTCGAAAACTTGATGTGCCCAAGTCCCTATGTTATGACTGTCAGGAATGATGGCAGCAGATCTAGTGACTTCTCTTTGAAAGTCACTATCAGCAATTAGAATTTGTCACCATTTGCAGAACAATAAGGATAGTCTCCTCTGGTGTGGCTCTGGTATCATCCTCCCATTCATCCTCCCTCCCTCCCTCTGCCATGGGATCGGTCTATGAAGCCCTGGCTGTCCTGAAACTATGTAGACGAGGCTGTCCTCAAAACTCACAGATTTACCTGTTTCAGCCTCCTGAGTGCTGGTATTAAAGGTATGTACCACTATACCCAGCTTATTTTATTTTCGCTCTCTTTTGCTCATTATTTAGCCCAGGCTGGCCTTCAACTTAAAATCCTCTCACCTCAACATTCTAAGTACTGGGATTACAGGAATACACCACCACACCTGGCTCAATTCCCAGTCTGAGTCCCAGGTCAGCAAAACCAAAGTAGTATTCCAGCTACTTCCCTAGCAGAGGCAGGTCTGTGGTACTGGGGGAGTCATTTATCTCTTTAGACTATTCAGCTGGGCACTAACTGATCTGGATACAAAGGCAGATTCCAAGGAAAGAAAACAATGAAAATGACAAACTCACAGAGCAGGGCAAATGACCTTAAAGGAATCATCTCTTCATCAACATCTTTCAGATTTATTTACTTATGTGGTGTGTGTGTGTGTGTGTGTGTGTGTGTGTGTGTGTGTGTTTGTGTTTGGGGGGGCGGTGTACCACCATGGTGCACATGTAGAGGTCAGAGAACACCTTGCAAAAGTCAGTTCTCTCCTTCCAGCATGTAGGTCCTGGCAATTGAACTGAGGTCATTGGGCTTGATGGTTAAGTGCCCACTGAACCACGTCACAGCTCACTCCCATGATTCTTTTTAAAATTTGAGTTGGGATTTCTCTCTTTTTTGCCTGACTGGCTGGAAAGTCCCAAAGTGTGGTTGGATAGCTGACCTGCTGAACCATGGCTCCAGTCTCTTCAAATGACTAATCTCACCCTTATGATTAGGCAAAACTGTCAATACTCATAACTTTAAAGCCTTTGTATTTTATTGTATACTGATTTTACCTAAAAAACCAACCAACCCCAAAAATACAAGCAGGGAAAGCGGCTTTCTTTCTCACTGTTACAGTCTGAGCTGGAGATGCCCATCACAGTCTCATGGTTTAAGTGCTGGTCCCCAACTCAGGATGCTATTTTGGGAGGTGGGACCTTGCCAGTAAAACAGACCACTCTCAGGGAGAGATTTATGAAGATTATAACCTGGTCCTGATTCTGGTCCACTCTCTTGCTCTTTGTTATGCTATGATGTGAACAGTCTCTACCACATGCTCTCACTACCACAAAAAGCCTCTCCACTGTGCTCTTCTTACTGTGAGGCCTAAAACTCCCTGAAGTAGTGAGCAACACGCCTTTCCTCCTTTAGCTTGTTTCTGTTGGATATTTTGGTCACAACAACATGAAAAATAACTAATACACTTCTGCTACAGAAATACTAACATAATGGCCAGAAGGCAGCTTTTCTGAGGAAGATAAAACCCACCTACCCTAAGAGAAGACTACTGGTTAACATTTTACCTTTTTCTCATCAGTAAGGTCAAGGGATTCAAGCTGTTTTCCCTGGTCAGCTGCATATAGTTCTAGGAGATTATCAAAATTTGTAGTTAATACTAGGGCTCCATTTTCCATCAGATGGAGGACAGACTGGAGGAGCTGTTTCCCAGAATCTTCCATCTTTGACTCCAGGTCATCAAATACTTCATATAAACAGTCTTTGAAAAATGTGGATCGAACATTACTGGTACGCTGCATGTGTGGGAGATTTGAAAGAAAAAAAATTCATAAGTGCTTTGTTCACTTGTTTCATGTGCATAAACTACAAATTTTGAGTACTTTATACTAAAACATCATCACTCTCATTGTAATAAGGAAACTAGGATGGTACATGCCAAACACAATGCCTAGCAACAGTAAGTGACCAATACTACCACTTCAGATACAAATGAGCATAATAAGCCTTTTAAACAGACATTTTAAAA